GGTTGTTTACCAGAAATCACAGGAAACAAAGGGTCAATTCGAAAGGGACATACGATCACTAAAGCAATGTTAGGACGTCTTAGTAATAACCCTAATGTCTTAAGATCATATTCGAGGTAATATTTCCGAGGAAACCTTTCCGAGACAACACTTTCGAATGGGACTTTTGATCTTTGTTTAGAAAAAAGAGCGACCACTAAAATACCCTATACTTAATGATTGTTTACCGAAGGCAACCGAAGTGAGAGTATACCCTAGGAGTGCGCATGTGCGAGTGATTCAATTTCAAGTTATTATCTTTGCACATTTAGGGTTTGCTAACCGTTTTAAAATTAACATACATTCTTGTCATGCAATCCTATTATCATACATCTAACAGTTAATATTTGCGAGAATTAAAATGCGAGAAATAAATCTACGCTATTACAAGGCTTCGGGGAGAGGGATTAATTACATAGCCAAAAAAACTTGTAAAATGATAAATAAACGAAAAAGTCCTAATTAAACTATTACATCCCATGAACAGTTACATTAATATTGTAAAAATAAATAAACGTGCGCGATGAATCGAGGACGAGAGAAATTAGGGTTTTGACCCCGTCTAAACCTAATTAAAAGAAAAATCATTTTTTTCGTTGTTTTTGATTACTTTAAGAAAGAATAAGGTTTTAAATGAATAAATACAAACCTAATTACTAATTAAATTAAATTAAGGAAAATAATTAATTTTGACCTATTTTTGTATTTTGGTTATTTTTAAGAAAATAAAATAAAAATTAAATTAAACAAAAACTCTAATTTTTTAATTGATTTTAATTTATTTACAAAAGAATTAAAGTTACCCTAAAATTAAATTAAACTAATTAAATTAATTTTGGTAAAAAATAACAACCTAAATCTAATTTGATGAAAATAATTTTTATGAGTTTTTTTATAAAAAAGAATCAATTTTTATGTTAGAAAATAATCAAAATAATTAAATAAAAGAAAATATAAAAAGAAAAGAAAAAGAGAATTGGGTCTGGTATGCTAGCAATTGAGGGGGTGCTAATCTGATTTTTCAAGCCCAAAAGCCTTTGTCCACGTTTGACTTTTCTGATTCAATGTTGCAAATTGACCAGGGTGCATCATGGACCTCCAATGAATGGACGTGAGATCTGGCATTCTGGAGATCTAGTGAGTGAATATTGATGGCATATGGTGGGCCTCATGATGCATGGAGTACTGGATCTGTAAAGAATAAATGAGAAAAATTGCAAATGTTGGAGGCAGGGGTCGAACCCCTGACCTCATGCCTGTAAGGCCTTAACGCTCTCCCTGGCTACCACTGGGCCACTTGATTTAATTTGTTAGCATATGAAATAAAAACAATAAAATGAATAAAACAATGCCAGCTATCAAACACGTGCCAGAATTCAAACGGGCGAATGGGGTGGTGCCACGCCACCTTCTTCTTCTCTCTGTTGGTAAAAGTCAAGGACTTTTACCTACAAACATAAGTCCGTAGCTATAACCCCTGTAATTTTCCAAAATTCCATACACGCACCATAAATGAAATCTAATGCTACAGACCAATTCGTCTTGGCCTTGTGAACATCATGGTACCTTTCTTTTGGGCTAATTTTACCTGTACAAGAAAATCCCAAAATGAAACAAGAAACCCTAACAATGGTGGATCTCTGTATGGTTAGCAAAAATGCAATTAATTGTTACCATTAGCTTGCAAATGCTTCAAGGATTCAGAATACATAAATAATTCATGCTACAAATGCCAAAATAATGATATTGGATTTCAAAAAGGGAGGGATGTCGTGAAGCACTTACCTCGCGTTTCTGGGCACGGAAACACTTGCTTTTGATTGGTATAGACTCCTTGCACACCCAGAAAGCGAATGAGATAGCTTGGGAGGCTTGAGAACACCTGGAAGTATGAAAATAGATTCCTACTTTTCTTGAGTTTTTCCAAGTTTGTTCTTCACTCTACACGCCTCCAATCCTTCTGCATTTGGTCTGCAAACGTTCTATATATGTCCTTGAGTGAATTAGGTTTACAAGTTTGCTCTAAATCTTTTTCAATTATGGTCATTGATCAAGATTTGATTCTCATTCAAATCTTTCTAAAACAAGCCAAAAACCAATCTTTTTGTGTACAAACATGCCTTGCACGATTTGATTCCCTTGCTAGCTGTATAAAAGACCTGAAATATGCACAAAATCTCAAGTTTTAAATGATTTTGATATTTTCATAATTTTATTTTGATTTAATTTGATTTAATTGAAATAAAAATCAAAATAAATGGAAAAAATAAAATAAAGGCAAGAGAGATGGATCATGGGTCGTGGACCATGTTACGAACTTAAGACAAGTACAAAATGTTGGGCCCATTTGACAAAAATTGCAATTTGAGGCACTTTTGACTTTTTGACAATTTTGCAAAAAAAGGTCAACTTCACCAATGCATAATTTCCTCAATTTTGACCCTATGAGAGTGTTCTTGGACTTTTTAGAAAGTCCAAGATGTCCTCTAAGCAACCCTTTTGGTCTCATCTCAATTGAGTCTTCCATGTTCATGTATCAAGCTTTGACAAAAAAGGTATTTTTGTTGACTTTTCAAAGTGACCTATAATGTCCAAATTCATAACTTCTTGTAAGTGCATATTTTGAACTTGGGAGATAAAGATGGATTGTAGGGAATTGCATCCTCTTAAAAATTAGATTTGGATGGGTCATTTATAATAAAGTATGAGAAAGTTATGCTTGTTCAAAGTTGAGTTGACTTTTCCTCCAAAACCTTAATTTAGCAACTTTTGGATTTTGATGAATTGTGAGCAATCCTTGAGGAATCATGATCAACCCTTGACCAAATGATAAATAATACTTCAAAATGAGGATGTTGACCAAAAATCTTGAAGTTTGACTGTATGTGGGCCACAATTGACTTTTGCCCTAACACAGTCGATTTTCAGGCCTTTGAGCAATTGACTGAGCAAATTTCCTCTGCAAGGCTTGAAACTTGACATGGATGATCTTGAGAACACATTAAGACAATGGTGAGCATTTGGGATCCCTTGGACTCAAACATCTTGATGCAACATGAAACTCTAATTTGAGGTAGACTGCCTTAGGAGAGAGTTTGTCTGGTCAACCCTTGGACTTCCTTGGGCAATTTGAGGATCTCACTTGAAATGTTTTGAGAAATATGGGAGGGCAAATTTTGTGGTACAATAGTCCCTTGAAGCTCTTCCTTTGTCAATTTCGACAAGTCTTTCCCCTCTTCTATCGCTACCACTATGTGGTCGAACTTAGGGGCCATAGATCTTAAAATCTTTGAAACAACAACTCTTGTTGTTAACGTTTCTCCACATATCTTGATTTGATTTACTAGTTTTGCAACTCTAGTGAAGAAATCAGATATGCTTTCACTGTCTTCCATCTGAAGCAGTTCGTACGTCCTTTTGTGAGTTTGTAACCTCACTTCTTTCACCTTCTCAGCGCCTCCAAAAGACTTTTCAAGGATTTCCCAAGCTTCTTTTGCAGATTCTGAATCACTAACCTTTTCGAAATTGTCTGGGCTGGCACATTGATGAATTATAAATAATGCTTTATAACTCAGCTTCTCAGATTCTGTGTATTTCTTCTTTTCTTCTTCTGAAGCGTTTTCTCCAAGCACTTCGACTCCATCTTTTACAAGATCCCAAAGACCTTGACACATGAATAAGACTTTCATCTGTTTGCACCAATTCTCATAGTTGTCAACTTAACGTTGCTGGATAGTTTGCATTCTCATAACTTGTCATTGTGAATTCTTCAATCGTTCTTGATTGACACTTCCCTCGAATCGAAATAAAAACTCTTGATACCAGATGTTGGAAATCCACCAATGTCTATGATGAATTTCTACCACAATGACAATTTAATTATGAGACAAACAAAGAAAAGAAGACAAGACAAATAATTTCTGTAGAGTTTCTCTCTGCTCACAAACAGTGAAAACTTTATTTACCTGCAACTGCAAATTCTGTGAATACAACTTAATTGACTTGCTTTACTTGCTTATAAAAAATAAGGGTTATTCCCTCTATTTATAACTGAGCTTACACCCTAAACCCAAAGTCTAAAATATCTATTTTGTTACTAAATCAAATCAAATTTATTCTAGACTTAAATCAAATCTATTTAAATCTAAAACAAATCTAATCTTTTCGACACATAGTTTCGACACACTGAATTCCAATTTAACATATTTCTCTCTTGAGAACTTCCTGCCATAAAATAGTTATGTCATGGCTAATGGTAAAACAAATACCAAACTTCATGCATAAAATATCTATGTCATGGTTAATGGTAGGTACAAAATACCACACTTTATGAGTTAAACTACAAGGTTTTGAATTTAGAGAGTTAAAGTTAAAGGTTTTGAATATACATTACTTTTAATGGAGTGAACTTATGATAAAATCAGTATTCTCTTTTTTATTTTCATTCCATTTTTTTAATTAGTGTGAAAGTGTCAACTATAAAATTTATTTTGAAACAGGAATTATATATGATTAAAAAGGGAGGGAATGACTTTAGGAGATGAGGCAGGAAGGTATTTTCCAAACTTTAATTTGAGATCTTGTTTGATAGGAGGAAAAAGAGAAAACTTATGATAAATATTTTCTTTATTTTAAAACAGAACTATTCTAAAAGATAAATGATTTAGAGAATTTTTTAACCACTCCAAAACTCTTTGAAGTCTTCTTTTCCCAATTTAATTTTTTTATTAACATATCTACTATTAACATTGTACGAGTCTAATTTCAATGATGCAATTGTAAATAAATCCAAATTTACATGCATGAACTCTATAACAAATAAACATATGCATCTATTTAACAGAAAAAACTTGTCTCTATAACAAATAAACATATGCATCAACGATCAAACTTAGCAAAGTCGACACAAAATTTGATCTTAAGATACAACTCGAACACAATTACATTTTTGTGTCAATGGATCAAACGGTCAGCAACTCCTGAAAGATAGGAAGAAGTTACTTGCCAAGCCATATATATATAATACACTCATGCATAATTTGATTATCATATAAGCAATATAAGCAACTAGTTAAAAACCAGTGCATTGAAACTTATCTGCATAAACTATGTGAACTCATCAAAACTTTTTCTTGTAAGACGACCGAGCTATAAACTCATTTTAATTCAAACTAGGCCTTGGAAAAATGGCTTTGTTATGAGTACAATCTTCCATATAATCCATAGATAAACTTGCCAAGTAGAGACATATGTATTACCTTTTCCTTCTGTTTGTAGATGACATCAACCCTCTTTATATAATCATCTGTCAGCTTCTACAAAACAGCATAATGAAATAAAACAGCAAATTATCTTTAACACACAAAATTCACATTGGTATTGAACGAAAATCCACATTCATAAGCTACACTTACCTGCAAGTCACTAGACAAGTCCTTCACATTATCTTCAGAGAGCTTTTTTTCCTATGAGAAAATTCCAATGGTGATTAACAAAAGGTAGAATGGAATTACTAAAGGGGGTTAAGATAAGAAAGAAAGGTGAGCAATTTAAGGATTGAAACCTTTTCAAGTTTTTCATAAGCTTTCAAAGCATCTCTTCTTATGTTCCTCAAAGCCACCTATTAAAGAAGTGAACATGCCAAATCATTCAAAATACTTGTTCTTGAAGCATGATGTAGAGCTATATGATTTACATCGAAAAAGAAAAACCCTTCTTTTGTAAACACACCTTCCCTTCTTCAACTTGTTTAGCCACTATCTTTGTTAGTTCCTGAAAAGGAGAAACAAAAAAAAGTTCCAACTAAGTTATTCAACTCACATCACAACATTCATATATTTGTATAGACTTCAAAAGATTTTATATAATGCATGTATAAAGATTAAAGAACCATCATAAATGGCACACTTTCATAAAAAGGTAAATGGATAACGGAAGGTGCGGCCAACAAGCGGGGAATAGGTGAGACCTTAGTCAAGCACGAAGCATGTGATCCCAGCCTCCGACCTATCTCCCACCGTCAGATCTACTCGAACAATGATTCGCACAATGCATCAGGCTAAGCGGGAGCGGTTTTAACCACTCACCCTATATAAGCTTTACACACACCACTTTCATGTATTTTTTCACTCTCACACTCTAAACTGCTTGTCTTGGGTGTTGGAGTGCTAACCTTACAGACCCACTCCGCTCCGCCGTACCGGGAGCATTCACCACAGCACCGGAAGATCTCATTCCTATCTTGTTTCCTATTACTGGTTCCATCACGGAACATATATATAGTTGCACAGATCCATTTGTAAAGAATGATAGAATTATTCATATCATTAAGATCTGTAGTTGAGACCTACTTTTCTTTTAGACATCTGTTCCAGTCTAAGTTTCAGCCGCTGCGAGCGCTGGTGGGCTGTCGGTACTCTTCTCACTGATGTCCAAATTGACACCCCCCATCCATCTCAAAAGCTGCAAACACTCCTCACCTACGGGTGCCATCAACAAAGTTTAGTGCATATGCTCACATGCACAAATTTTCAGCCGATTGTTATCAGGCTCATGAGGTGTGCATACCACATTGTCGTTCCTAACAATATCTCATTGCCAATATCATGTTGGCCATCAGCATCTCCCATTCTGCTTATAATTGAGGAACTCGTTGAATGTTTGCTTATAATTCTCTCAATAGAAGTTTCAATGGGAGGTGATTAGTAATGAACGTTCGAGTTTTCTAGTTTCATTTCTAATTAAACTAAATGGGTAGATTGTGGTCATGGTCGTAGAGGTGGTCATCGATCCAAGGATGGAAGAGATAACATTCATCATTCTTATTGTAAGTTAACTCGGCACACTTAAAAACATAGTTGTAAAAATTCATTTGCAAAGAATATTAAAATAGTTCAAATTATTCAATGGGTCATAAAAGAGAAGAGATGGTGCTATGTCATTTCGATAATAATTAATATAAAATCAGTAATATTTCTAGTCAGTCACAGAAAAAAGTCACCAGAAATCTCGTAAAAGAATTTAGACCCTACACCATCAATGGAAGTAGAAAATACCTTTCGTCTATCAGATGTCAACTGAGGGATACTTAACCTTAGCACTTCTCCATCGTTATTTGGAGTCATACCAACGTCAGAGTTAACTATGGCTTTCTCAATAGACTTCAAGCTGAAAATCAATATTGGTAACCAAGAGCTCACTGAGAATTATTCTTCACAAAAGATACCATATTGACACATTTAATCACAGCTAAAATCATTTTTGTCTCATGTTATTGACATACCTTGATTTGTCATATGGTTGTACCAACAGAGAACTAGCATCAGGAGTGCTTATTTGAGCAATGCTCTTCAAGCTAACTGGAGATCCATAGTATTCCACCTAGAACATGTAGAACAACTCATATATAGGACAAAACTCTCTAGAAAAATAAAACTAAATACACGCGGTCACTCCAGTTTAGCATTTAGTTAAAAGATGATGATTACATGGATATCACAATTTTTAGCATTGTGTCAGTATATGCAAACTACACGAGTTGACCGAAAACAAGTGCATAAGTTATCAATTTGGAGGAGCAGTTGCCATGACAGCTGGATGCCTTTACATAGCATGTAATTTGAACATCAATGTGGGACAACAAAGCTCGAAAACATTTTAAACAGGTAACACGGTTCAAACATGGTAAATGTGTTAGATTTGGTTAATAGATATATCAGATCAGATGTCACAAATTATTAATCATCTAGTGAACTTTATTGACCGCAAATTTAAACGTGATAAACCTTAATTTTAAACTATTCGAATCTACATGTAGTTGGAACATCTGAAATTGTGATTAATTAAGTTCATTCGATGGTTAGTGCATTCTTCAAACTCGATATCCACTTTAACCACTCCTTGAACCGCGTTAACCATTTAAAACGTTTCAAATTTTGTTGCCCCAAATTCATGAATCGTGATAGACATAAGTCTAATTGATTAGATTTTGGAACAACAAATTAAAACCATTTCAATACAATATGCATTTTGTAGCAGAAGCATATTAAAAGAGTAACAATGCAGTTGCAAGCATACCTCAATTTTGTCAAGCATTGCCGGGTTTGCTCTCCCGGTTCTAATGGAACTGAAATTCAACCGAACATTATCAAGAGTCTTTTCCATTCTGTTTTTCTGAGGAAGCAAAATGAATAACATTACACATTACACATTCAAAACTCAGAACCCTCATCCATATACATACAAAAAAAAAAGGTTAACTTTATATCAAGAGACTCACAACATCTTTCTCAATAGATGCTTTTTCAGCTTCAATTTCTTCAATAGTAGCAGCCCTCACAATTCCCTTTCTGTGTATTTCAAAACAGCAAATTACAATTCAAAATTGAAAAAGAAAAAAAAAACACAACTAGAGTGATGATTTTGGTACCTTCTATGCAAGGTCAAGAATCCTTTAGAGAGGAGAGGTTTCCCATTCCTAGGGAGTGTGAAGTTGCGAGGGAGGTTTAGTGTGGCATAGGTTGAAGAGCGTTTGACGCTGTAAGAGGACTCTGCAGAAAGAAGAGGTTTGGGACGGTTTTGGAGGATGTAACGGAGTGGTGTTGTGGGAGAGAAAGAGGTTGCCATGAGATGAGAGAGACAGTCACTCTACGCCTTGTGTTGTTTGTTGTCTTTCTTTGTGGATAACAATAACAACGTTTATGTTTATGTTCATGTTCATGTACGTTCGTGCCACAACCGCACCGTGTGACAATGTTTTTTCCCACAGTATCAAATTGGCGTATACTTTTATTATTTTAATATCAACATTATAATATGAACGGAGCGAGTAAAGTGGAAGAAATAAAATAGGAGGATTTTTAACGCACCCTATTTATTTGAAAAACATGTTATGAAAATTTAAAAATATTTTTCAATTATGGAAAATACATTTTTTTTGATGCACTTCATATATATTAATTAATTCGTTTTTGAGTTATGCTCTAACTTTATAATTTAATTTATTTTGAAAATACAAAGCTAAACGAAGATATAAATAAAACTTTACACAAAACTAGCATGTATTCTTGGACATCATGCCTATATATTTTTAGTATTTCTTTCATGCGTTAGGAGGGTGTTGTTTTGGATTTTAAGTGAACTCATGTTGTATATATCACTATAATTATCTTACTATTTTACATATTTATTGTTATTCCCTAAAATTTATCCTCTTCATTTCGTCCATATTTAGCTTATATATCATTATCATATATATGCATATACATATCATTGGTTCTATGGTTATGGAATTAAGACACTTATGTTAAGCTTCTCAAGTTACAAAAGATGTTTATTTCATCAGTTAACGCGTTCAAAGCGTTCTCCAGACTATTTAATCAGTGGGCAGTCAAATCCTCATCATAACAAGTTTTTATGTGTTCCAGCATGTCTTGAATTGCAGAGAAAATCAAGCGTTTCGGTCAATTCTGAACAGTTTGAGCAGAAAAGTGTTGGTGCACAAGGAAGATAAAAGGTAAAAATAATATTTACTGACAGCTTTAAAATAAGGATTTACAATGAATTACAATAACCTACTTCTCTAGACTATTTATACACAAAATTAAATCTAAAATATATCTTCTAACAAAGATATAAGAAGATCTAAGATATATATCTTCTAACAAATATATAAACAATCTAAAAGATATTTTTAAATATAAATTAATATCTAATTAATTATAAAATCTAAATTAATTCTAACACCATCCCTTAATTTATATTTATCCAAAACTGACAACACCAATTTCATTCCTTAAACCAAGAAATTGATCAATTTTGATAGCCTTTGTCAGAACATCTGCCAACTGCTTCTGGGTGCTACAGTGCACAACTTCTAATATTCCATTCTGAACTTGATTCCTCAGAAAATGATACTTAGTCTCAATATGCTTGCTTCTCCCATGCAACACTGGATTCTCGACAAGATTGATTGCAGACTTGTTATCAATCATCAGTTTCAGAGGTTTATTTACCTCAATCTTCAGATTTTTCAGCAAGTTCAGAATCCACATAGCTTGACACGCAATCAGAGCACCTGCAATATATTCAGCTTCACAAGTTGACAGTGCAACAACATGTTGTTTCTTGGAACACCAAGAAATAGGATCTCCCCGAAATTTGAATAAGTACCCAGAAGTACTTCTTCTGTCAATTCTATCTCCGCACCAATCAGAATCAGAATAACTCAGAAGTTCTGATTCAATCTTTCTTCTAGACAGAAATAACACTCCATATTTCAGAGTTTCCTTTACATATCTCAGAATCCTGACAGCAGCTTGGTAATGAGACCACTTTGGTTTACTCATAAATCTGCTAACCATTCCAACTGTATAGTAAATATCAGGTATGGTATTACACAAATACCTTAGAGAACCAACCATCTGTTTGAAGGTTGTAACTTCCACATCCTCTCCATCAGAATCAGAGTCCAACTTCTGATTTGTATCAGCAGGTGTGATAGCAACTTTGTAATTTTCTAGCTCAAATCTCTTCAGAAGCTCTAGTTCATACTTCATCTGATGCAAAATGATTCCTTTCTCAGAGTACATAAACTCCATCCCTAGAAAGAAACTCATTTTCCCAAGATCTGTCATCTCAAATGCATTCATCAGAACTTTCTTGAACTCAACTATCTCTTGTTCAGAATTTCCTGTGAGTAATATGTCATCAACGTACAAACAGACCAGAATCATATTACCTTCTGAAGTATGCTGAACATAAACATCATACTCCATCTCACACTTTTGAAACCATTGTTCCTTGAAAAACGAACCAATCTTCAAATTCCAAGCTCTGGGTGCTTGCTTCAATCCATACAATGCTTTGTGTAATTTGAACACCATCCCTTCCTGATTCTTTTTCTCAAATCTAGGAGGTTGTAAAACGTACACCTCTTCTTGTTATGGACCATTCAGAAATGCAGATTTTACATCTAAATGCATCAGAGGCCAATTCATGTTAGCAACTATTGCACACTAGTCTGATTATTTCATGTCTCGCTACAGGTGCAAACACTTCAAAGTAATCTAGCCTAGGTTTTTGTAGAAAGCCTCTTGCTACTAATCTCGCTTTGTGTTTGCCAATTGATCCATCTGACTTTAGCTTCTGCTTGAAAACCCGTCTAACGCTGATGGCTTTCTTGCCTTTTGGAAGTTCAGTCAGCTTTTAAGTCTTGTTTCTCTCTATAGCATCAAGTTCTTCTTTCATGGCCTGCAACCAGACTTGATGCTTAAGAGACTCTTCCATACTCACGGGTTCAGAGTCTACTAATATTGCACACTGAATAACTTCTCCTTCATAGTCTACTTCAGTGTCTTGCAACATGTCAAACTCTGTAAATCTTCTTGGGATGTGTGATACGGTGGGAGAACTGACTTGAGGTTTTGCGTTTGTTTTCGCAAATATTTCGGTTTATCAAGAGTCGCCACCGACTTTTTATTTTATCCTAAGGAAAGGTTAAAAAGCAAAGGAAAAACCTTTGAGATGTTTCTTGGGTTCGGGGAGTAGATTATAGAAAGGGAAGGTATTAGCACCCTTTCTATCCATGGTTATCCATGGGCTCTTAGTTACTTGCTTAGATCACTTGCCTTGCATTTTCAATTGTTTGAAATGGTGCTTTGTGTATGGTTTTGAAAATGTTTTGAAAAAGATGCCTTGTCTAGGCAACCATTGTAACAATTCTTTACTCGAATGTTTTACAAAGGTGTTTGTCTTTTTGAAAAGATGTTTCAATGTTTTTTGAAAGTTGTTTTGAAAGTTGTGTGGTGGAGTGTGTTTTGAAAAATGGCAAGGATTTGTTTTGCAAGTTGGTCAAGTAACCAAGAGCTATCTACCCTAAATTTCTCAAAGATCTTTCCTATGTTTTAACCCTTTTAACAGTATTGTTCCACCATTGTATTTGGTGGACAATCTTGTGTTAGGATGTTAACGGGACGGGCGCGGGTCATCGTTTAGACCATGAATACAATAGTGCCAAGTGTCTTTGGCAATTTTTCTTTAGGGGACTTGATCATTTTTAGGCAACTTGAGAAAGCGTCATCGAGGGGCTATGATCATTTGATTTGTTTTTGTTTTGCCAAATACACTCAACATGCAACATGGCCCACTTTTGAAGGCAACAAGTGGAATAACCCTAGGGGTGCAAGTGTGCATTGTGTTGTCCATTTTCATGCATTTTTTGTCTTTGAATTTAGGTCAAGCTACTTGTTATTTGATTTGCATACAAACCCTAGGTCTATCATGACATAATTTGAAAGCTTTTAAATGCGTAAATTTAAAGTCCTAAATTATTACAACAATGATTATGGGGATGGGGGTACAAATGTTTGAGTGGGGGGATATTTGGCAAGAAATTAAATCTAAACTATTACATCCATATCGAATATACAAACATTTAATTGTACAATATTGGAATAAATACAATAAATATGCAAAATGTATTATGCACAAAAAGGATTTTTTATGTATGTGAAAATGTTTTTTTATGTGAAATATAAACAAAAATAAAAAGGTCAAATTTTGAATATTTTATGGTTTAGGGCAAAACCCTAGTTTTTTTTAAATAAATAGTATTTATTTATTAATTATATACAATACTTATATATTAGTTTATACAAAAAATAAAAAAAGAAGTATATTGTAAAAAAAAGTATTTTTTAGTGTCATATATTAATAAAAATAAAAATGTATTATTTCTATATTTTTGTCCTAAATATCTAATAAAAATATACAAGTATTTATATATTATATTAAATATACTAAATATATACAAGAATAAAATATTAATTATTTACAAAAAAATTATATTTTAGAAAATGTTTTCAAAATGTAAACAAAAAATAATAACTAAAAAATATTTATTTTTGTATTAGTTTCTAGGTTTTTAAATAAAAAGTATATATATATTTATTTACATACATATATTAAATAAAACAAATAAATGCCAAATAAATGCAAAAAAGGGTGGAAAAATATTTTTGATATTTTTTATATTTGAGCAAGAAATAATAGGTCAGAATCAAAAAGAAAAAATAAAAAATGATCAATATATCACACAATGGGCCAAGGTGGTGTAAATGGAAAAAAGGGGTGTGAACAGCAAGCACCAACTCAGGCCCAGCCCAAGTCAGCCTTCTTCAACCTCCAGCTTCGTTTGAACAACCAAAACGCGCGCTTTCCATGCTTCATTCAAACTCCTGATTCTTTGACTTTTAACAAAAACTCATAACACAAACAATGTAGAGCATCAAGAGACGAATTCATACATATAAAACACTTGACTTAACTCTAAGAAACGAAGGAGAATTTCTTCATCCCCAATTTCTGACCTAATTTTTCTTCAATGTTCATGGCCAAAATTCTCACAGCATACTCAATATAAATGAAAAGTAAATATATGGATGGCTTCAGGGCTATGAGGAGAACATGTTTCATTCACAAACCTAAGCCTAACTCTTCCTATATTGAGAGATAGAAGTTCATGTTTTTACCTGTTTCAGCTTGAGTCGTGTACAGCAATGGAGGTATCTTCAATGGAGTTTGAGCTTTGGTACAGCTTGCCTGAAGTCCAAGGATGCTTCTCCAAC